GGGATGGGAATAGAAATGGGAATAGGAACAGAAATGGGAATGGGGAGGTGGAAGGGACAGGGATGGGATAGGAATAGGAATGGGAACAGAAATGGGGATGGGGGTAGGGATGGGAATGGTTTTGGGGATGAAGAAGGGGACAGGGATGGAGACAGGCATGGGATGGGAATAGAAATGGGAATGGGACGGGGATGGGTTGGGGACAGGCATGGGAATGGGGACAGGGATGGGATGGGAATGGGAACTGGAAGAGAAATGGGAACAGAAATGGGGATGGGGGTAGGGATGGGAATGGGGATAAGTAGGGGACAGGGATGGAGACAGGCGTGGGATGGGAATGGGGATGAAGAAGGGAAAGGGATGGGATGGGAATGGAATGGGAATGGGGATTGGAAGAGAAATGGAAACAGAAATAGGGATGGGAATGGGGATGAAGAAGGGGACAGGGACGGGATGGGATGGGATGGGATGGGATGGGAATGGGATGGGAATGGTAACAGAAATGGGGATGGGGGTAGGGATGGGAATGGGGATGAAGAAGGGAAAGGGATGGGATGGGAATGGGGCTTGGAAGAGAAATGGGAACAGAAATGGAATGGGGAGGTGGAAGGGACAGGGAAGGGATGGGAATAGGAATGGGAATGGGAACAGAAATGTGGATGGGGTTTGGGATGGGATTGGGAATGGGGATGGGGATAAGAAGGGGACAGGGATGGAGACAGGCGTGGGATGGGAATAGAAATGGGAATAGGAACAGAAATGGAAATGGGGATGAAGAAGGGACAGGCATGGGATGGGAATGGGATGGGAATGGAACTTGGAAGAGAAATGGGAACAGAAATGGGGATGGGAGTAGGGATGGGAATGAGGATGAAGAAGGGGACAGGGATGGAGACAGGTGTGGGATGGGAATGGGGATGAAGAAGGGAAAGGGATGGGATGGGATGGGATGGGATGGGATGGGAATGGGAATTGGAAGAGAAATGGGAACAGAAATGGGGATAGGAATGGGAATGGGGATGAAGAAGAAAAAGGTATGGGATGGGAATGGGGATTGGAAGATAAATGGGAACAAAAATGGGAATGGGGGTAGGGATGGGAATGGGGATGAAGAAGGGGACAGGGATAGGAATGGGGATTGGAAGAGAAATGGAAACAGAAATGGGAATGGGAGTAGGGATGGGGAAGATTTGGGGATGAAGAAGGGGATGGATGGAGACAGGCATGGGGTGGGAATAGAAATGGGAATGGGGATGAGGAAGGGAAAGGGATGGGATGGGAATGGGATGGGAATGGGGATTGGAAGAAAAATGGGAACAGAAATGGGGATGGGGGTAGGGATGGGAATGGGGATGAAGAAGGAAAAGGGATGGGAAGGGAATGGGGATTGGAAGAGGAATGGGAACAGAAATGGTAATGGGGATGGGTTGGGGACAGGCATGGGAATAGGGACAGGATGGGATGGGAATTGGAAGAGAAATGGGAACAGAAATGGGGATGGGGCAGGGACGGGGATGGGAATGGGGATGAAGGGGAAAGGGATGGGATGGGAATGGGGATTGGAAGAGGAATGGGAACAGAAATGGGGATGGGGGTAGGGATGGGAATGGGGATGAAGAAGGAGACAGGGATGGAGACAGGTGTGAGATGGGAATGGGGATGAAGAAGGGAAAGGGATGGGATGGGACAGGTACTTGGAAAAGAAATGGAAACAGAAATGGGGATGGTGTAGGGATGGGAATGGTTTGGGGATGAAGAAGGGGACAGGGATGGAGACAGGTGTGGGATGGGAATAGAAATGGGAATAGGAACAGAAATGGGAATGGTGAGGAGGAATGGGACAGGGATGGGATAGAAATAGGAATGAGAATGGGAACAGAAAAGGGGATGGGGGCAGGGATGGGAATGGGGATGAAGGAGGGGACAAGGATGGAGACAGGCGTGGGATGGGAACAGAAATGGGAATGGGGAGGTGGAAGGGACAGGGATGGGATAGGAATAGGAATGGGAACAGAAATGGGGATGGGGGTAGGGATGGGATTGGGGATGAAGAAGGGACAGGTATGGAGACAGACATGGGATGGGAATGGGGATGAGGAAGGGAAAGGGATGGGATGGAAATGGGATGGGAATGGGGATTGGAAGAGAAATGGAAACAGAAATAGGGATGGGAATGGGGATGAAGAAGGGGACAGGGATGGGATGGGATGGGATGGGAATGGGAATGGGAATGGGAAGAGAAATTGGAACAGAAATGGGGATGGGGGTAGGGATGGGAATGGGGATGGGGATGAAAAAGGAAAAGGGATGGGATGGGAATGGGAATTGGAATAGAAATGAGAACAGAAATGGGAATGGGGATGGGTTGGGGACAGGATGGGATGGGAATAGGAATGGGGATTGGAAGAGAAATGGGAACAGAAATGAGGATGGGGATCGGAATGGGGATGAAGAAGGGGACAGGGATGGAGACAGGCGTGGGATGGGAATCGAAATGGGAATGGGGATGAGGAAGGGAAAGGGATGAAGACAGGCATGGGATGGGAATAGAAATGGGAATGGGACGGGGATGGGTTGGGTACAGGCATGGGAATGGGGACAGGATGGGATGGGAAAGGGAATGGGAATTGGAAGAGAAATGGGAACAGAAATGGGGATGGGGATGAAGAAGGGGACAGGGATGGAGACGGGTGTGGGATGGGAATAGAAATGGGAATAGGAACAGAAATGGGAATGGGGAGGTGGAAGGGACAGGGATGGGATAGGAATAGGAATGGGAACAGAAATGGGGATGGGGGCAGAGATGGGAATGGGGATGAAGGAGGGGACAAGGATGGAGGCAGGCGTGGGATGGGAACAGAAATGGGAACAGAAATGGGAATGGAGATGAGGAAGGGGACAGGGATGGGATGGAAATGGGATGGGAATGGGAATTGGAAGAGAAATGGGAACAGAAATGGGAATGGGGATGGGTTGGGGACAGGCATGGGAATGGGGACAGGGATGGAATGGGGACAGCAGGGCTGGGGCCCCCATCCCGGATGCTCTAGGAGGGGATGTGACCGCTGTCCCTGATGCCACCTCCCTTTCCTGCACAGGGACACTGCCCAACATCACCCGCAACGCCATCGTCAACTGCGGGGAGCTCGTCACCTACGACCTCATTAAGGACGCGCTGCTGCGGGCGCAGCTGATGACGGGTAACGAACGGCGCCGGGGAGGTGGGGACGGGACACAGCCGGGTGCCACCCCCATCCCCGTGACCCTCAACCCTCCCCCCCTGTCTCTGCCCCACCAGACAATGTCCCCTGTCACTTCGTGGCCGCTTTCGGGGCCGGTTTCTGCGCCACGGTGGTGGCGTCACCGGTGGACGTGGTGAAGACGCGGTACATGAACGCGGGCCCCGGGCAGTACCGGAACGCGCTCAGCTGCCTCCTCGCCCTCCTCATGCAGGACGGCATCGCCGGCTTCTACAAGGGGTGAGTTTGGGGAGGTTGAGCACCGGCAAACTCAGTGCAACGATGGGGTGTGCCCTCACACCAGGGTAAACCGGCTCCGCTTCACACCTGGTGGCCGGTCACAAGTGATGTTCCCCAGGGCTCAGTGTTGGGACCGTTTCTGGTGAACATCTTCACTGATGGTCTTGATGACACCGAGTGTGTCACCAGTAAGTTGGAAGATGACACCGAGTGTGTCACCAGTGAGTTGGCAGATGACACCAAGTGGAGTGTTGATCTGCGTGAGGATGGGGAGGCTCCACAGAGAGACTTGGATAGGTTGGCTGGATGGGCCAACGTTAATCTGGAGATTAGGAGACGTTAGACGGGAGATTAGGAGAAGGTTCTTCACTGTGAGGGTGGTGGAGCACTGGAACAGGTTGCCTAGGGAGGTGGTTGAGGCCCCATCCCTGGAGATATTCAAGGAGAGGCTCGACGAGGCCCTGGGCAACCTGGTCTAGTTGGGGGTGTCCCTGCTGACTGCGGGGAGGTGGGACTAGATGACCTTTGGAGGTCCCTTCTGGCCTGGACAACTCTATGATTCTATGGTTAATGGGATGAGCTTCAACAAGACCAAGTGCCAGGTCCTGCCCTTGGGCCACACCAACCCCCTGCCATCAATGGGTAGAGACTTGGGGACGTGCGGCTGGAGCTGCCTGGTGGAAAAGGACTTGGAGGACACCAGCAGTGCGCCCAGGTGGCCAAGAAAGTCAACGGCATCCTGGCTTGTATGAGAAATAGTGTGACCAGCAGAAGTAGGAGGTGATTGTCTCCCCATAGTCAGCACCGGTGAGGCCACACCTGGAGTGTTGTGTCCAGTTTTGGGCACCTCAATCCAAGAGAGATCTTGAGGTGGTGGAGCGGGTGCGGAGGAGGGCAACGAAGGTGGTGAAGAGCCTGGAGAATAAATCATACGAAGAATGATTGAGGGAGCTGGGACTGTTTAGTTTGAGGAAGAGGAGGCTGAGGGGAGACCTCATCACTCTCTACAACTACTTGAAAGGACATTGTAGAGAGGTTGGTGCTGGTCTCTTCACACAAGCAATTAGTGATAGAACAAGAGGGAATGGCTTCAAGCTGCAACAGGGTAGGTTTAGATTGGACATGAAGAAGAAATTCTTCACAGAAAAAGTGGTCAGAGACTGGAATAGGCTGCCCAGGGAGGTGGTTGAGTCACCATCCTTGGATGAGTTCAAGAGTCGTTTAGATGTGGTGTTGGGGGACATGGTGTAGGGGAGAACTTTGTAAAGTTGATGGTTGGACTCGATGATCCCAAGGGTCTTTTGGGCAGCGGCTTTGGGGACCACGGGGGATGTCCCCCCATGATGTCCCCTCCAAACACTGCTCTTCCTGGCACAGGTTTGTCCCCTCCTTCCTCCGGCTGGGCTCCTGGAACGTGGTGATGTTCATCACCTACGAGCAACTGCAGCGTGCGGTGACGCTGGCCCAATCCTGACATCCCACCACCACCACACACAACCCCTTTGGACTCTCTCGTCAGCGTTGACGAGACACAAGTGTAAATTATATTAATTGCTGGAGCGACGAGGGAGCAGCAACACACACACAACCCCTCACAGCCCGATGGGGACACCCCGAGAGGGACCGGCGAGACGGAAGGAGGAACGATGCCATTTGTGGAGAAACGTTGGAGAACGGAGGTGCCCAGAGGGAACTTTAGGGAGGAAAAAAAAGGTGTTTTTAGGGTTTTTCCAACCGGGAAGAGCTTCCCGACAGTGGTTTGGGCAGGTGGGAGTGAGTTGAGGGCTGGGGGATGTGGTGGTTCCTGTTATTCCTCACCGACGCTTCCAATAAACCGCCCCTATGGGGTCTGATCGCAGCCAGAGCTCCATGGGGGTTTTTTTTTGGGGGGGAAAGAAGGGATTAGGGTCATTCTCTTGACCCTGAGGTGCCGTTGGAAAGTCAAACCAGGCCTCACCCAAAAGTTTTCCTGAGTGTCCTGTGCTATCGGCGATCAGCTTTAGGGGAGGTGCCACCCATGGATTCAAAGAGCTGCTGGTCCCCCTCCATGTGGGAGGCCCCCCCAGCTCCAAGGAGGGCTCATCCACCTACAATGGGGCACGCAGCCTTGAGGCCATGGTGATGGTCACCCCACCTCAACTCCTCATGGGGGACCTCTAGTTAACCTGCGTGGTCGGGTCTCGAACCCAGGTCCTCCCGCTCTGGGGGCGGAGCAGCCATTACCCTTGAACCCCCCCCATCTCTACCCGGGCTCTTCTGGGGTCCATCCCTGGTGACCCCCATGTCCTTGCTGGGAGACCCCACACACCCTTAGGATCTGCTGGGGACTCCCATGTCCTCTCCTGGAGAACCCCAACTCCTTGCCAAGCCTCCCCCCCACAACTCCTCCTGGGGGTCCCCAATCCCCAGGGGTCCCCAATCCACAACCACCCCCCCAATCCCTGCAGCTGGAGACCCCAACCTACGTCCTCCCACCTCCCGGGGGGGCGTGGCACCCACGGGGGGCACCTCTCCCACCCTTCTCCTCACCCCAACCTCATCACCTTCCCCCCTGGACAGCCCCAGCTCTCCTAAGATGGGACAAACCCTCTCCATTTTTGTCCTTCTCCACCCAACCCCTTCTAGCTCTTCTCCACCAGCCTCCCCTGCCATGGTTGGGTGGTCAAACCTCATGAGATGCCTCCAGCAGCCACCATGAAGTTTGTTGGAGCCAAGATGGCCACCTGCGTGGCCAACCTCGTCACCTTCCCCCCTGGACAGCCCCAGCTCTCCTAAGATAGGACAAACCCCCTCCATTTTTGTCCCCTTCTCCACCAGCCTCCCCCGCCGTGGTTGGGTGGTCAAACCTCATGAGATGCCTCCAGCAGCCACCATGAAGTTTGTTGGAGCCAAGATGGCCACCTGCGTGGCCAACCTTGTCACCTTCCTCCCTAGACATGGCCAAAATGTGGCTGCAGATGAGCACAGCGACCATGGTGGTGACCTTCACCCAGCCCACAGATATGGTGAAAGCACATTTCCAAGATGGTAGGGAGGGTGGTCAGCATTATCAGGTCACCACAGATGCCTACAGGACCATCACTGAGGAGGAGGATGTCCGTGGGCTGTGGTGAGGTGGGTGCAGCCCCCAGGGACCACGCTGGGATGGCTGTCCCACCACCTCTGACCACTCTGGTCCATGCAGGAACATCCCCCAGTATTGTCCACAGCACCGTGGTGAACTGTGGTGGGCTGGTGACCTCTGATCTCATGAAGGACGTGCTGCTCAAATCCCACCTCTCGAGCGGTGAGGCCCCTGGCTCTGCTGTGGAGGCTGCAGCCAATTTCCACCCAGAGCATCTGCCCAGGGAGGGAGCTCCTGGGTTGTACCTCCAAAATAATCCAGTCTCACAACCCTCCTGTGGCTCTTGCTGGGCAGAAAACATCTCCTACAGCTTCACCTCTGCCTTCAGGGCCAGCTTCTGAGCCACACTTGTCATCTTCCCCGTGGACGTGGTGAAGATGAGGTACATGAACGCTGCTCCTGGGCAGTATGGAAGCATCAGGAGATGTTCTATCACTCTGCTGAGAAACGAGGGGTTCAAGGCTTTCCACAAGGGGTTTGCCACCCTTTTTGATCCTCTTCCAAAATGCAGCCACTTCTGGGGTGGAGGCACCATCACTCTGGGATGGGATGTGCTGGCCCTGGCAGGTTCATGGCCTTGTTCCTGTGACTTGGCTCCTGGAACATCATGACGTTCATCACCTATGAGCAGCTGAAACAGGGCCTGGTGGCCACATGTGGCTGGCAGGAGGTCCTCTCCAAAGCCCGATGCTGGTATTGCCACCTTCCTGGTGGTGCCTCACTCACAGATGCTGAAGGAGATCGCATCTGCCAGGCCCAAGTCAAGGAGAAAGCTGTGTCCAGCGTGGCGAGACCTTGAGTAAATCCCTTGAGTGGTTGTTTCTTCCCTGGTTTTGGTCTTTCACTCACCACCTTGTGAACCGTCACCCCCAAACCATCGCCGTTCCCACACACGAGAGTACTCCAACCCATCTCCAAAATTCTCCATCATCCTCCGCATCCCTGTGGTGCCACTGCTGTGGGGTGGCAGCTACGGAGAAGAGTCCAAAAAACCAGGTGGATCCAAGTCCCAGGAGAAACAACCTCAAGGGTGCCGTGTTTTAGGGTGGTGGGAACAACCTCTACCCCATCACAGTCCCAGTTCCAGAGCTTTATTGGTGGAAGGAGAACGGAACGGTCCTTGTCCCCTAGGACAGGAGAGCACTTTTCAAGAGCGCCTTCTTGTCACGCGTGAGCTTCTTGGGAAAGCAGATGTTGAAGTAGATGTGGAGGTCACCCTTGCGCCGGGGGTCCTGGAGCAGGGGCATCCCCTCCCCTGGCACCACTTTACAGTATTTGGGGCTGCAAAGCAAAGGGAGGGGCTGAGAAATCCATGGGATGATCCCAACGTGGGGCCACCATGCCAAGAGCCCCACCATGCTTCTGAGTGGGTTTCTTAGGGGCAGGTTTGCTCCTCCAGCTTCAACCATAGAGTCATAGAATGCTTTGGGTGGGAAGGGACCTTAAAGACCACCCAGTCCCACCCCCTGCCCTGGGCAGGGACACCTCCCACCACCCCAGGTTGCTCCAAGCCCCCTCCAACCTGGCCTTGAACCCCTCCAGGGATGGGGCAGACACAGCTTCTCGGGGCAACCTGGGCCAGGCTCTCACCACCCTCCCACCAAACAAGTTCTTCCCCACATCTCAGCTCCATCTCCCCTCTTTCAGGGTCAAACCCTTCCCCCTCCTCCTAGGGCTCCTCTCCCTCATCAAGCCCCTCTCCAGCTTTCCTGGAGCCCCTTGAGGGACTGGAAGGGGCTCCAAGGTCTCCCTGGAGCCTTCTCTTCTCCAGGCTGAACCCCCCCAACTCTCTCAGCCTGTCCTCCCAGCAGAGGGGCTCCAGCCCTCCCAGCATCTCCATGGCCTCCTCTGGCCCCGCTCCAACAGGTCCATGTCTCTCCTGTGGTGAGGACTCCGGAGCTGGACATATTACTCCAAGTGGGGTCTCTCCAGAGCGGAGTAGAGGAGTAGAATCCCCTCCCTGGACCTGCTGGCCACACTTCTTTTGATGCAGCCCAGGATGGTGTTGACTTTCTGGGCTGCCAGCACACCTTGGCCTGCCCTCCTCTTCCAGCCTTGTGTCCCCAGGTTCCTTGTCCTGCAGGTGGTACCATCCAACCTTCATCTCACTCCTGTCTTCCACCCACCCACACCAAGCCCTCTCCCTGCTCCTACCATCAACAACAGCCCCCAACCAGGTGAGAAGCCCATGGTGGGCATCCTCTTCCTCCTGGAGGGGACCACCCAGTCCCAAAACTGCTGGAAAAGCTTTGGAAGCACCCCAGTAATTCAGGCAATTGGGAGATGCTTGGGAAGAGCTTAGCTCTTGTTCCTCAAGGAGGAACAGGCCAGCACTGAGGTTCCTCCCAAGCGCCCGTTCACCTCCTTGGCCACCAAACCCTGCAGAAAGGCCCCATTTGATCAACCACTTGAGCCCACCAGCTGGTTGCCCCACGGCACTTACTCCACGATGTCGTTGATGGGGATGTTCAACAGCCTCCCATCCAACGTCCTCACCTCCACCGTGCAGCCGATCAGCGCCTACAAGGCATGGAGCAGGACACGGAGATGTGTTTGCAGCCCCAGAGGACAAACATAAGTGGGAGGTGGAAGCTGGTTCCATCCCCTCACTTGGTTCTTTACCTTTCCCAGGGGGATGGTGGCGACATAAATGAGGTTGTCGTCGGCTCTTTTAAACCTTGGGTGGAGCTTCTCTTGGACTATGAAGGTGATGTCAGCTGGAATGACATTTGGACCCTAAAAATCAAGGAAAAAAATAAATAAATAACTAAACCTGGAAATGGTTTGGTGTAACACGAATGATTTTACACAGGGAAAGGGGACACGAGTGCCTGTCCCTTTGTTGCTGCTCTCAGCTGGCTACGAAAAAGGGAAAGGTATTTTCTTCCTTTAAGAAAAACAAACAAAGGCTTTGATAAAAGACTCCTGCTAAGCCAAGGGAAATCAGATTGGGTTCAACAAAGGTGATGCCAGGCAGAGAACCACTCCTTTCAATTAGTTTTTATTTATCCTTGAGGGAAATCCAGGCAGGAAAGGCTCCCTAGAGTGTTTCTGAGCATGGTGACACTGAATAGTCCCGTTAGCCAAGCCACCAACTGCCCACAACCTGCAGAAATGGGAAACCTGCAAAGAGCCTGAGGTCAGCCCCGAGCAAAGCTGGCCCAGAACGTCCCACCACCATCATTACCTGGTCTCCTTCCTTCTCAAAGGTGATCCTGGTGCCCTGCTTCCACCCCGGCTGCACGTCGATGGTCAGGATCTTGTCTCTGATAGTGCTCGTTTGATCATCTTTATTCATCACCTGGGGGGTGGAGGAAGGAATGAGAAGAGCTGGGTCCTGTCTGGAGAGGTGGGTCTGGGACCAGGTGAGCTCAGCTCTGCTCTGTCATCAGAGCAGCCAGCTCCAGGTGCTGGTTCCATCCATGGCCATGCTCAGCCCCCAGCTGGATCATGACCCTGAGGTGCCAAACACAGCCCCACAGGTGGGGCAGACACCCCCAGGCAGCTTCCCAGTCTGTCCCAGGATCAGAGAATGGTTTGGGTGGGAAGGGACCTTTAAAGGTCATCTACTCCAACGTCTTCAACCAGATCAGGCTGCTCAAAGCCCTGTCCATCCTGGCCTTGAATGTTTCTAGGGATGGGGCATCTTCCACTTCTCTGCCCAACCTGGGCCAGTGTCTCAGTGTAAAAACAATCTCTTCCTTATATCTAGTCTGAATCCACCCTCCTTCATAGAAGGTTGGATGGTGGATTAGGTTGGAAGGGAACTTAAAGATCATCAAGTTCCAACCCCTGCCCTGGGCAGGGACACCTCCCATCACACCAGGTTGCTTCAAGCCCCCTCCAACCTGGCCTTGAACCCCTCCAGGGATGGGGCAGCCACAGCTTCTCTGGGCAACCAGGGCCAGGCTCTCACCACCCTCACACCAAACAAGTTCTTCCCCACATCTCATCTCCATCTCCCTTCTTTCAGGGTCAAACCCTTCCCCCTCCTCCTAGGGCTCCCCTCCCTCATCAAGAGTCCCTCCCCATCTCTCCTGGAGCCCCTTGAGGGACTGGAAGGGGCTCCAAGGTCTCCCTGGAGCCTTCTCTTCTCCAGGCTGAACCCCCCCAACTCTCTCAGCCTGTCCTCCCAGCAGAGGGGCTCCAGCCCTCCCAGCATCTCCATGGCCTCCTCTGGCCCCGCTCCAACAGGTCCATGTCTCTCCTGTGGTGAGGACTCCGGAGCTGGACATATTACTCCAAGTGGGGTCTCTCCAGAGCGGAGTAGAGGAGTAGAATCCCCTCCCTGGACCTGCTGGCCACACTTCTTTTGATGCAGCCCAGGATGGTGTTGACTTTCTGGGCTGCCAGCACACCTTGGCCTGCCCTCCTCTTCCAGCCTTGTGTCCCCAGGTTCCTTGTCCTGCAGGTGGTACCATCCAACCTTCATCTCACTCCTGTCTTCCACCCACCCACACCAAGCCCTCTCCCTGCTCCTACCATCAACAACAGCCCCCAACCAGGTGAGAAGCCCATGGTGGGCATCCTCTTCCTCCTGGAGGGGACCACCCAGTCCCAAAACTGCTGGAAAAGCTTTGGAAGCACCCCAGTAATTCAGGCAATTGGGAGATGCTTGGGAAGAGCTTAGCTCTTGTTCCTCAAGGAGGAACAGGCCAGCACTGAGGTTCCTCCCAAGCGCCCGTTCACCTCCTTGGCCACCAAACCCTGCAGAAAGGCCCCATTTGATCAACCACTTGAGCCCACCAGCTGGTTGCCCCACGGCACTTACTCCACGATGTCGTTGATGGGGATGTTCAACAGCCTCCCATCCAACGTCCTCACCTCCACCGTGCAGCCGATCAGCGCCTACAAGGCATGGAGCAGGACACGGAGATGTGTTTGCAGCCCCAGAGGACAAACATAAGTGGGAGGTGGAAGCTGGTTCCATCCCCTCACTTGGTTCTTTACCTTTCCCAGGGGGATGGTGGCGACATAAATGAGGTTGTCGTCGGCTCTTTTAAACCTTGGGTGGAGCTTCTCTTGGACTATGAAGGTGATGTCAGCTGGAATGACATTTGGACCCTAAAAATCAAGGAAAAAAATAAATAAATAACTAAACCTGGAAATGGTTTGGTGTAACACGAATGATTTTACACAGGGAAAGGGGACACGAGTGCCTGTCCCTTTGTTGCTGCTCTCAGCTGGCTACGAAAAAGGGAAAGGTATTTTCTTCCTTTAAGAAAAACAAACAAAGGCTTTGATAAAAGACTCCTGCTAAGCCAAGGGAAATCAGATTGGGTTCAACAAAGGTGATGCCAGGCAGAGAACCACTCCTTTCAATTAGTTTTTATTTATCCTTGAGGGAAATCCAGGCAGGAAAGGCTCCCTAGAGTGTTTCTGAGCATGGTGACACTGAATAGTCCCGTTAGCCAAGCCACCAACTGCCCACAACCTGCAGAAATGGGAAACCTGCAAAGAGCCTGAGGTCAGCCCCGAGCAAAGCTGGCCCAGAACGTCCCACCACCATCATTACCTGGTCTCCTTCCTTCTCAAAGGTGATCCTGGTGCCCTGCTTCCACCCCGGCTGCACGTCGATGGTCAGGATCTTGTCTCTGATAGTGCTCGTTTGATCATCTTTATTCATCACCTGGGGGGTGGAGGAAGGAATGAGAAGAGCTGGGTCCTGTCTGGAGAGGTGGGTCTGGGACCAGGTGAGCTCAGCTCTGCTCTGTCATCAGAGCAGCCAGCTCCAGGTGCTGGTTCCATCCATGGCCATGCTCAGCCCCCAGCTGGATCATGACCCTGAGGTGCCAAACACAGCCCCACAGGTCGGGCAGGCACCCCCAGGCAGCTTCCCAGTCTGTCCCAGAATTGGAGAATGGTTTGGGTGGGAAGGGACCTTTAAAGGTCATCTACTCCAACGTCTTCAACCAGATCAGGCTGCTCAAAGCCCTGTCCATCCTGGCCTTGAATGTTTCTAGGGATGGGGCATCTTCCACTTCTCTGCCCAACCTGGGCCAGTGTCTCAGTGTAAAAACAATCTCTTCCTTATATCTAGTCTGAATCCACGTGTTAAAAAAAAAATCTCTTCCTTATATCTAGTCTGAATCCACCCTCCTTCATAGAAGGTTGGATGGTGGATTAGGTTGGAAAGGACCTTAAAGATCATCCAGTCCCACCCCCTACCCTGGGCAGGGACACCTCCCACCACACCAGGTTGCTCCAAGCCCCCTCCAACCTGGCCTTGAACCCCTCCAGGGATGGGGCAGCCACAGCTTCTCGGGGCAACCTGGGCCAGGCTCTCACCACCCTCACACCAAACAAGTTCTTCCCCACATCTCAGCTCCATCTCCCCTCTTTCAGGGTCAAACCCTTCCCCCTCCTCCTATGGCTCCCCTCCCTCATCAAGAGTCTCTCCCCAGCTTTCCTGGAGCCCCCACCTTGAGGGACTGGAAGGGGCTCCAAGGTCTCCCCCCTTTTTCCCCCCCACCCCATCCCTACCCTCCGGGAGATCTTGATCTTCTTGGTGCAGCCATCCTTTTTCCCCCCCACACCATCCCTACCCTGCGGGAGATCTTGATCTTCTTGGTGCAGCCATAGAACAGGTCTTCAAGGGAGAGGTAGAGATCCCGCACAACTGGGGGGTCTTGCTTCATCGTTCCTCGTCCTTGCAGCCCCCCGAAGGGCGGGATCAACTCTGAGCCATCCTCAGCAAAAAACTCTGTGTGAGAGAGCAGAGTAGGTGGGGGTCACCTCACTCAGAGCACAGGTTGGTGTGTCCCCTGGGGTCTCCTTATCATGGAAGCTGAGCACCCCAAATATGGTACCCAAAAAACCCCCATCTGTTTCTGGGACCACCCTCCCCCTTAAGCTGAAATGTTTTTTTCTGCGAGTATTTTTATCTTGTTTACGTGTTTATGACAGTCTTGCCAACCTGGACCTTCTTTTTTGGGTGAAAATCCTCCAAGAAAAGGATCACAACGGTAGCTGGGGAGAGCTGGCAGCTTGAACAAGCACCCCCAGCCCTCTTGCCCACCCGGGACTGGAGGAAGTCAGGATCTAACCTCCAAGCACTGGGGACCAGCAGCACCAGAGAGGACCTGAGAGTAGCTGGGCAGGGAAACAGCCCCATAAAGCTTAAAGGTCAGAGGTGGTGGTGGCCACGGCATCACAGAAGCTACAGATAGTGCCCTGTGCCACCCCCAGAGCCCCCCCACGTACCCGCAAAGGGGTTGTCTCCACCAAAGAATTCCCTGAAGACTTTCTCAGGGTTGTTGTGAAACACGTAGCCTTCGGTCCAGGGGTTCTCGCCGCCAAACTCCAAGGGAATGCCACCTTTGAGCCCCTCTTCTCCAAACTTGTCGTAGATGCCTTTCTTCATGGCTTAGGGAACAAGGAGGAGTCGGGAATTACAGAATCACATGGGGTTGGAAAGGACCTCTGGAGATCATCCAGTCCAACCCCCTGCCAGAGCAGGGCCACCCAGAGCAGGTCCCACAGGAACGTGTCCAGGTGGCGTTTGAATGTCTCCAGAGATGGAGACTCTACCACCTCTGGTGGAGAGTGGCTCTCCCATAAGGAGGGAGAGCCTAAGATCCAGGTTTTGCTTGGGTGGATGCTGGAGAGAGGGGTCCCCTGTGGAGAATGGCTCTCCCATATGGAAGGAGAGCCTAAGATCTAGGCTTTTCTTGGGTGGATGCTGGAGAGAGGGGTCCCCTGCCACCTTGAGAACAACAATTTGAGATGGAAGCAGGAAGACACGCCAGCAATGGGCCTGGCTGTGGGTCACAGAGCTGATGTGGTTGTGCCAGTGACCAGGGGTTCAGACCTCAGCATGCCCCCAGCCAGAGCAGAGATGCTTCATTCCCTGTCCAGCCCCTCCTGCCCTTAAATTTCATGGAAGAGAAGCGTCTCCCCACTTACGGTCGCTGAGCACATCGTAGGCCTCCGCCAGTTGCCGAAACCTCTTCGGGGCCCAGGGTTCCTTGCATTTTAAAGGATGGTTCTTCAAGGCCAACTTCCGATAGCTGTGAAGGAGAAAGGAGAGGAGTGTCCAGCCTCGTAGCCAGCCCCGGGGTCCCAGGACACCCCCAATCCCAAGCTGCTCCCTCAGAACTTCTCTCAGCCCCTTTCTCCTCTTCAGGCCTCCGCTGTGGGGAGCAGCGGGGCAGCCGTGGACAGGGCCTCCCTCACTTCCAACATCACCTCCCGCCCCTCTGGTCGCCCCCAACCCCAGGGCTCCCCCCGCAAGGCCGAAGCCCCCCTCACGCCTTCTTGATATCGGCGTCCGTGGCGCCGCGGCCCAGCTCCAACACGGCGTAGTAGTCCTGCCCCATGGCGGCCCGCTCTGCCGTTGCTATGGAGACGGCGTCGGAGGGCCACTTCCGGTCCCCCGCCGCGCGGGGCACTATGGGAGTTGTAGTTCTTCAAGGCCACATCCGGACTCCGGCCGCCCTCCATCACGCCAAAGCCACCGCTCCTTTTGTTATTTTAAAATAAGTTTTCTTGGAAAAATCACTTTTCCACACGGGTTTTTATCAAAGCGGTTGCTTTATTTCAAGTCCACACTGTCTTACAGTCGTCTTTAACCCCCCCTTTCCCCCCCCTCCTCCCCCCTCTCTCCCAATTTATTTTCCCCAGGTTTTCCACAGTGAAAAAAAAAAAGAAAATAATGTTTGCAACACAAAATCCTCTCCAACACCTGGAAGCCACTCTCCAAATTCAAAACGATCAAATTTGTGTTGTAGTAAGAAATATTACCTGTCGCCAAAAGCCTCTATTGTATAGACCCTGGTCATCACAACAGCCTCAGAAACTTCTACGTACCTCAAAAAACCTCCCAAAAAACTTCTATATACACATCTCAAAGACCCTGTACAGGAAAATAAGCTTGTAAGAGCTATTTCGACACATCTCTAGGTTATTTGGCCCATTCAAACGCTTAAAGGTCGGAAAGTTGGTATCTCCTCACTATCCCGTCCCTGCAGCACGTGTAAATTTGCTTCTCCCAAGAAGCCACCTAAAAAAGAGAGGGGAAAAAAGTAGTTTTTAAGTCCAGTTTTTTTCCTAAACAACAGTTACAAGTAAAATACTCAGAGATCAGCTTTCCTTTTGGACTCTGGCAGAGGGAAGAGGAGGTGAGTGTCCCCCGCAACAGCACTCGCAGGTTTTAAAGGACAGGTCAAGTTTTTACCAGGAGCGGGTAAAGGGCTCAAAAAAGGGTTTTTCTGTCAGGATTGACAAGGAAAATGACTTTTCTGACATTTTTCTCACGTTTTGTTACACCAGTGTGTTGTATAGCTCAAATCTCTCTGCCTCTGTGTGATGTTGAGTGTTACCCTAGAGGATTAGATGATCTCTGGACGTCCCTTCCAACCCCATGTCGTTCTGTGATTCTGTGAGTGTTGATGACAAGAGCTGGAATGGGTTAAAAACAAGAGCTACTTTACACCAGTGCCACCAGTTTGGGAGCCCAGGGAAACCAGGGCACCCTCCCCGGCCTGTGCAAGCACAGAGGGGTGTCTGGAAACACAACAGGAAGACCCACTTGCTGGTCTCGAGTCACATAGAATTGCAGAATGACCTGGGGTTGGAAGGGACCTCTGGAGATCATCTCCTCCAACCCCCTGCCAGAGCAGGGCCACCCAGAGCAGGGCCCACAGGAACGTGTCCAGGTGGGGTTGGAATGTCTCCAGAGAAGGAGACTCCACCACCTCTCTGGGCAGCCTCTGCCAGGGCTCTGCCACCCTCACAGCAAAGAAGGTCCTCCTCATGTTTAGGTGGAACTTCCTATGTTCAAGTTTGTGCCCATTTCCTCTTGTCCTGTCCCTGGGCACCACTGAAAAAAGACTGGCCCCATCCTCCTGACACCCACCCTTCAAGGATTTAGAGGTGTTGATCAGATCCCCCCTCAGTCTTCTCTTCTCCAGACTAAACAGACCCAAGTCCCTCAGCCTCTCCTTTTACAAGAGATGCTCCAGGCCCCTCAGCATCTTTGTAGCCCCTGCTGTCCCCTCTCCAGCAGTTCCCTGTCCTTCTGGAACTGGGGAGCCCACAACTGGTCCCAGTGCTCCAGCTGGGGCCTCCCCAGGGCAGAGCAGAGGGGCAGGATGACCTCCCTCCACCTGCTGCTCACACTCTTCCTGATGCCCCCCAGGATGCCCTTGGCCTTCTTGGCCACCAGGGCCCATTGCTGGCTCCTGGGCATCCTGTTGTCCACCAGGACTCCTAGGTCTTTCTCCTCAGAGCTGCTCTGCACCAGGTCAGCCCCAACCTATAGTGGATAAAAATCTGAGGACCTCACTAAGCCAGGAAGTTTCCTGGTGACGTCCTTAGTCCGGGGTCCAGGAAGACAGCAGACTTCCACCTGAGGGTCCACCTGGCATATTGGGCCCTCCGTCCCCCTCAGGAAGGAGTCACCAACAACTATAAACCTTCTTTTCCTCCTTGGGGCTGTGGTGGTGATCTGGGGTGTACGCTTTTGTGAATGAGGAGGCATCTCTGATGCAGATTGCCCATCATCTACATCCTCACTCAACTGGCCTTCCTCAACCAGAACCCCTTATCTGTTCTTCAGAGGTACCCGGCAGGTGACCAGAGTCACTGGGGGACCAGAGTCACCAGGGGACAAGAGAAAACAGGCAGTTGGCTTGTGCTTTTACCCCGATGATCCCCCGAGCACAATTAATTCCCTTTTTTTTTTTTTTTTAAAGAAACTCAGTTCTACCAGAGCTACTCCAACAACTGAGCAACTCCACTGCTCCAGTTTTGCTCCTGCAACATGGAGATAACACCAGCGTATACCACAGAGGATTTGTTTATGCAAAATATTAAGATTGTTCAGGTAGAAAAAAAACAACAAACCAAGCTTAAAAGTCAACTGGGTGAAGGAACGTGCTGTGTGGGCTGCCAAATCCTGAGGCCATCACCTTTCCCTACACTATTTATCTTGGGAGACACCACCATATTCCTTACCTTGTAGACAGGGTCACAGTCAGCTTCTGTGAGGTCGAGGACATAATCAAGGTCTTGCTGAACGATAAAGCAGGTTCCATCACCTGCACGAGGAGAAGAGATACCAAGGAAGGAAGGAAAGTCAGCCAATTAGTGGAATAAGCCATGCTCTTAATTACAAGCAGCACTAATAGGCCCATCAGAAACACCTGATCATGGGGTATGGAAGCCCCAGGAAGGGGGAAAAGTGCAGTGAGGATTCAGAGAGATGGGAAAAGGCTCTAATCATTGAGAGGAAGTCCTGGGTTCCTCAATTTAGAGGAACACAGGAGAAAAAAAAAATCACAAGACAGAAAGCAACCAACTACACCAGTTTGCAGTGGACACTGCCCAGCCAGTCAGTGCTTATGTAGGATCATAGAATTGCCCAGGTTGGAAGGGACTTTTCAGACCATGGAGTCCAACCATCAACCCAACACTGACAAACCCACCACCGACCCTCAGCACCATGTCTGCCCCCTCCAGGGATGGGGACTCCACCACTGCCCTGGGCAGCCTCTGCCAAGGCTTCACAACCCTTTCCAGGAAGAAATTTTTCCAAATCTCCATCCTAAACCTCCCCTGGTGCAACTTGAGGCCATTTCCTCTTGTCCCATGGCCTGTTCCTTGGGAGAAGAGACCGACCCCCCCTGGCTACACCCTCCTTTCAGGGAGTTGGAGAGAGCCAGAAGGTCTCCCCTCAGCCTCCTTTTCTCCAGGCTCAACACCTCCAGCTCCCTCAGCTGCTCCTCACCAGACTTGTGCTCCAGACCCCTCACCAGCTCCGTTGCCCTTCTCTGGGCCCACTCCAGCCCCTCAATGTCTTTCCTGTCGTGAGGAGCCCAAATCTGGACCCAGCCCTCGAGGTGGGGCCTCCCCAGTGCCCAGTACTGGTGAAAAATATATAAGAGGGCAATACCCGAAGAGAACAAAGCCTCTTAATTCGATACACAATTTCTACTGGCAGAACACAGCACTTGAGTTACCTTGGCTGGCAACAAATCCATCTCGGTAGGGGAGCAGCGAAAGCACTGGTGCTCCTGATCTATGGATGACCTGGATTGGAGCGCTAGAATAAGAAGCAGAAACAAGGGATGAGTAATATGGTCTGTAGTCAAGAGCCCTTTTCAATGTCCAAAGAAGAAAACGAGCTCACAGACAAAAGCATGGAGGTCATCCAGCACAAAGGACTCTTCAGATTTTGGTCCCAGCCCCTCCAGCCCCCGCCCAGAAGCACCATCTGGATGCACCCCTGCTCAGAGCTCACCTTTAACTCTAATAAAAACCAATTTCAAGCAGATCCTGCCCTCAGCAACAGCTCAGTTCCAGTCCTATGCTGGAATGAGGATGAGGGAAAACGTTTGGATCCTACAAAGACACTTAAGTCTCACCAGGGACTGAGAGGAAAAGGGCTGTGCTTTTGGTAGCAGGAATACTGCTGTTAAGAAGTTTTCTGTTAAATCTATCTACATATATATATCTAGATTACATATAATCACACAGGTATTCATATATAATGTAATATGCACAATATATGAACATTATTTTATATATCTGTATGTATCTAAAGCAATAATCCACAAGGTAAGGCTACGCCAAGAGCACCCCCGAAAAGCTTTTCAATAACTAAATAAAACCTCCACAGAGCCCATAGACTTTGGGATGTTCTCTGGGAAGTGCCTCCTCATTAGATCACCAACCTGAGCAGCAGTATCCTCCCCGGTGCTCCCCAAGAGAAAGAAATGGCTCAGAAGCTCAGGGTGCCATGACTTGGGTTGTATCTACCCTTCAGAAGGGGCACCGTCTTCCACCAGCCCCAATCTGCCTCTTTCCCAGCCAAAAAACCTACTTGCTGTTGAAATACTTGCAGCCCCAGGAGGTCACTCACTTTGTGTTTCTCACATCCAGCTGATAAATGTTCCCATCCTGGGTCCCCGCTAGGATATAGGTACTCGAGAGGAACGCGCAGCAGTTGAAGGCGTCAGATCCGACGAAGAGGAACACCTGAGAATACAGGAGCAAAGGGAAGTGTCAGACACTCCCAGGACACGGGACACCCAGGAGAAGGAAGCAGTAATTTATTTCTAAGTCAGTAACACTGTCTCTCATAACATCCTCATTGGGAAACTGAGGCAGTATGGGCTGGATGAGGGGACAGTGAGGTGGGTTGAGAACTGGCTGTGTGACAGGACTCAAAGGGTAATGATTAATGGAGCAGGTTCAAGTTGGAAGCCTGTAACCAGTGGTGGCCCCCAGGGGTCAATACTTGGACCCGTGCTGTTTAATATATTCATCAGTGACCTGGACGAGGGGACAGAGTGTATCCTCAGCAAATTTGCTGATGGTACCAAACTGGGAGGGGTGGCTGACACCCCGGAGGGCTGTGCTGCCATCCAGCGAGACTTGGACAGGCTGGAGAACTGGGCAAGGAAGAACCTCATGAGGTTCAACAGGGAAAAG